TAAATGAGCATTGTGACAGTGAAAAATGGTATAACAAAAAAAACTAGTCAACTAAGTATCTACAAGGGTCAATATATGACGGAAGTTTAAACTAAATCTTTTAAAATCCTATCTTTACACCCTAACTGGTAGGCTTTGATTGAGGCATGATTTGATTTGGTCCAGAAATAGGGTGTTTTATGATTGCTGCGGTGGTCACAGAGACAAGACAATATGATATATGAAATACAACATTCTGGAAATTACAAAAACTTAAAAGTTAGTATTTTTTTTTATATGTCGAGTTCTTAAGCACTTTCGAAGATGACACATTTTTGACAATTAATAAAATCAAGATTTTTTGACGGAATATTAGGTCACATCTTTAAGCCAGATAGCAAATTCTTGACTATAGCTAGCGTGTCGATATTTATAATGATAAATTTATCTGTAAAACAAGAATTATATGTAACATATGTCTTTCATATATTGGGTTAAAAATTACTATAATTTTGCATAAGGTTGTATAAGTTTCCGATGATGCAATTTTTATTATGTGAATAACGTTAGCCAAAACTTTCATAGATCTGGTATATATAAAACTATAGTTCCAAGCCATCTCAGCATCGAACTTGGATAAATTTTTCCTCTCAACAACATTTTCATTGTGCGAAAGGATCACAAAATAACTATTTCAGGTATACTTCACCTAAATAGTAAAATTTTCTGCTATTTATAAGTACTAAATTCAAGAAATGGTTGGCTAAAAAAAATTAAAATATTGTGTATAAGTTTTAATCTTAAAGATTTTATATATGCTATTTGATATGCAATTTTAATAACAAAAACTTATTACTTAGTGTGTATTATTGTATATTAAAAGTTTTATTTTAAGGGTTTAAATGTCAGATTGGTAAGCAATATTGAAATATTTATTAAGTATATAGGTCAACATTATGATGCATTTTTAGCAAAGGTTGTAATTATGAAAAATACATATAATATAAAAGATAAGTAAGGCACTACTAATAATAAATAATTTGTTTGAATCTTGGAATCTTGGGTTTCTTAATTATTTGACTAGTAGATAATCATGTTTTGTATCATTTATGAGCTTTATTTTTTTAAGTTACTAAGAATATAACTGCTAAAGTCATAAACTTTAAAACCATAATATTATGTATCAGCTCATCTATATAAGTGTTATTGCTTCATTTTTAATTATTTCAACCTGATTTTTTTGTGATACACAGATAAACTTTTGTAAGAAGGAATAGGAGTATATAAAGTTTAATAATCATTTTAAATATAATAATTCATGAATAATTAAAGAATCCAGAGTTAGTCTAGGGTGTTGATTATAAAGGCAGATCTACTAGCAAACCAATCATTAAACTAAAAGCTATAAATAATAAGAATTTTTACAATGAGGCTGGAAAAGTTGTTTAGAAGAAATTGGTTTAAAGCTTTCGATTTGTAGCTTTGATTAGAGTTGATTATCAATTACCATCTTTATAATAGTTTCAACTAATTTGAGTTAATTATAGGGAAATTCTAATGCTAAATATTTTGATTTTCTTAAACATATTAAATCCTGTTTTTTCAATCATTTCCTTTTTAATAATTATTCCTGCACCATTAGCATGTTAGTACATCGATATTATAGAAAGAGTTTAAAAACCATAAAAGAATTTTATTTAAAACTCTTATTTGTATAACATACTTGTAAGTGTTTAAATTAGCTGTGAAATAATAAAGTATTAAATAAATTAGACAAGTCAAATATAAAGTTATTAGAATTGAATATTGCTAGCGAAATTTTTGCTATTTCATGATTGACAGCAATATTCTTTGTTATTTTATCTAATGCATTTTCGCTTCTATATCTCTTAATACATAATTAATAGCAAACACCTTCTGAATAAATGTGTGTAAATAAGAAATTAAATTTTGAGCACATAATTCATTGTATTTATTGTACTCAACCACTGATTTAACACATTAATAGTTGCAGATTCATCAACGAATACAATGATCTCTTCTTTTTGTAAAGAGCTTGTTATGAGACTATAATTACAATGAAAACATATTACTTCTGTTCAAATCAAAAAGAAAAAAAAATCAAAAGAGAATTATCACTGTATACTAACTGAGTTCTTTTCTCTTTGAAATCTTCAATCAACTTTTCAATATTGTTAATTAATTTGTTATGAAAGTTTCCAAAGTGCTTTTTAGCTATTTGAAGCTATTCAATACCCTCAGCTGAATTGAGATCGCATTTGATAATCTGTCATACTAAATCCTTGAATTCTTTTTTTGGCAGATTTCTAGCACAAAAAAAAGACATTTCAATTCCTTCAAGTAATCTTAACTGGCTTTTGTCTATTATATTAATATATTAGCAATTTATAAAGTTATAAAGATATAAAGTAAAAAAAAAGTAGATCACTTTATCATATTGATTTTGCGCTGTAGTTGACAATGTCGATGAGATAGTTGGCACAAATCTGAGCCATCTTCAGCGGAGTTTGCATTGATAAATTCATATTATTTGCAAGCCGTAAAATGTTTGGGTTTGCACATAACCACAAACAGATTTGATAGATTGACATTTTACTAAATGGTAATAGAATAACCATTTTATTAAGGTTGAAATGTCCAACGCATTGTTAAAGAAATTCAATTCTAGAGATGATAATTGTTTTAGAGGTATGGCTGATGGGTTGATCAAGTGTTGATAAAAAGAATTGAAATTATTTTAAATATCAGTTCTTGATCCTAGAGCAGGTGTCAATTGTTATGGAGATACAATTCTTGACTCTAAAGTTGGAGATAACTGTCTTGAAGGTGTGATTACTTGAAACTCAATCCTTGACTGTAAAGCTGATAATTTATTTCTTAATCCTAGATCAGAAGATAGTTGTCATGATGGTATTGAAGATTGAGACATTTCATTAATATTTTTAGCTTCATAATCATCTAGAAAACTAATAAATAATCATTATAATTAATATAATAAACATTATAATTAATATATTAAAAGAATCATTATCTTGTGAATCATCAGTATCATTCAAGAGTTCATTAACTATTCGTGAAGATGATGATGCTACTTTTTTTTGTTTCTTTTGGTGACTTTGTTGCTCTTCATTATTATCTAAGAAAAGAATTATGTAAATACTATAACTAATTAATAAAACACAAAGTTAAAGTAATATTTGTCTTGCGAATTATCAATATCTTTCAAAAGTTCATTCATTATTTGTAATGATGATGCAACTGTTTCTTGCTTCTTCTTGTGACCTCATTTATTTGCAGTATTAGATTTAACTTATAAATTATCAACATTCGAAAGATTAATTTTCTTTTTTTTACGGCCTTGTTTAGCAGGTTTAGCAGTAATTTGTATTTTATTATTTGCAAGTCTTTTAGAGTTTCTAGTACTCATGCTTTAGTAATAGAGGGTAAAAAAAAGTCTATTAAATTTTAAAAGTTTATTTTAATATATAGTTTATTCGCAAGTTTATAGTTATATGATTTATCATGATTGAATAATATACCATTAAACGAATTTTGTTATTAAGAGATTTCTTCTTTTTGCAAAGACAGTTTGTCAACTTTTTACAATATATGAATGTATATAGATTACAAGTACCACAAAGATTATTATAGTTTTAATAGTTATGAGAATTGCAACTATTCACAATATGCTATTCTTATATTCTCAATGATATAATTATTGTACTGCAATTACAACTTCACTTTATAAGTTTCATTCATCACACTTTAAATTTAGGCTTAAGTCTGAAATTAAAAAGATAAGAAAAAGCTACTGTGGTGCTTGTCATTTCAGCTTCAAAAGTTTATAGTAAGAAATTTTATATAATAATTTTGAAAATTTTGGATAGAATATTGATATTTATAAATATTAATATCGATGATTTTTTTAAGAGCACTTTGGTGATTGTTTGTAAAATTTTAATCCTGTTCAACAGTTTTTACTATATATAAGAATTCATTATGAATTAGGATTTGATCAAAGGTATAATCGAACTTCTTGGAAACAATTATCACAATACAAAAAAAAATATTTAATTATTTATTTTATTCGAACTTCTATATGTAATTCTAGTTTTTTAGAACATAGGTTATCAAATTTATTTTTGCATTCTTAAAATATTCAAAAGGTCAAGTAGAATGCATTTGAAGCTATCATGTAATTTCAAAAACATATATGTTCGTGAAATCATGTTGAATAGCAAATCTATCATATTTTTGACAACTGAGTAAGTTATTTTTTTTCTTTGCTTTTGCATATATTGTAGTTTAATTTCTCACTATAGTTACATACACGTCTGTAAACAAAAGTATTGTTTAAGCTACTTCCTCTATTATACATCATCCTAGTTTGGTATATAATACTAAGAATAACGAATAATAACTATATTTTACTATATAAATCTGCATTGATCTTATGCATGCATTACAGTATTATTTTGTTCATGTTTGATTATTTTTATTCCTATTAAAATAGAGAGATTATTGGTTAATTAATGTACAACTAAATCCATTTTCAAGAGCAAAAAATAAAAATTTGCAATTTAATAGTAAAGATACTTCCTAATTCATTTCTTCATTTAATTTAGATATCATATAGATTTTAATCATAAGATGGAAGACATTAAGTTTTGTTGCTTGTTACTAACAACATAATTCTTATAACTATATTTTGGTTCTTGTTTTAATTTATTGCAATGTATTATTAGTCGATCTGATAATAACTCTGATTAGTGATCTTGTGAATAATAAATCTATTTTTTATATTGTGTTTTTTATATAAATAGATTTTCAACTTATAATATTTATTTTAATTTTCTTACAATATTTCACAGTCGTTATATTCCCTTTAACCCTCGGCAAAACTATATAAGATGCCTACCTCATATGCTTAGCACACCCTCATATAAGAAATTTATAAGAGAAATGCCTAAACAAATGTTTTTAATAATGATTATATTAATATGAAGTCAACTGATAATATAATAAGCAAAGCAGATTTTGATAATATTTCAAATAATGAAGATTCTGATGATGATACATCAAGCAAAAACAATTTATCAAGCAACACTTTATTAAGCGACAATAATTTATTAAGTGATAATGATCTGTTAAGTGATGATTTATTAAGCAATGATTTATTAACAATAGTTTGTTAAATGATGGTTTGTTAAATAATGGTTTGTTAAATGATGGTTTGCTAAGTGAAGATGATATATTCACTAAAGATAATTTACTGAGTGAGGATGATGTGTTAAATAATAATATGCTAAGTGAAGAAGATTCTGACAGAGAAATTTTAGATAAATCTTTAAGCAGTGAAAAATGCTATTTTTTATTAATGGAGAATTTGCACCATATTTTGGTAATTCTACAGAAGCAAAAATGTTTATCTGGATTCAAAAACATCATATATATAAGTAGAATGATTTATCAATTATAAAAATTCATTTGCTAAATTTTTTTTAATATTAGCCACCCAAGCTTATGAAGACTTAGTGGATATAATCTATTATCCTCAATTCGAGGTCAAGAATGTTATAAAAAATATTAGAAGGTTTAGAATCTACAGACAAAGACTTCTTTTACTTCAAATTAAATCACCTAAAATTCATATTTCCAGCAAAAAAACCCTATCAACATCGAAATATACTAAGAAAGCATATTGTTTATCAATTTTTGAGATTATTTGGTATATTCTTAACAATTCTTCAGTATTCGACCAAATGTATTTTGGTCTGGGTCAAGAAGTTGCAACAAATTATAAGTTATGACTAAGCAATATTTGGAAGGAATTGCTGAGATTTGGGCAGGCATCTGTCATCATAAATAATGGTAATAATTTTATTTATTTTTCAATTATTTTTATTTAAATACACATTATTAAATATACTTATAACTTTGCAGTAAAGTACTACTCTGGGGATTTTGTGATATATTAAGAATCTACAAAAAGGATTGGTCAAATTTTATCAATAGTCCAAAATGATGGCTCACTTAATGTTAACATCCAACGAATTTTAACATATGATAAATTACCAAGAAATTTTCAAAGCTATGGTCATAAAGAGAGATCAATGAAAGGTGAAATTTGAATATTGTATTGAGAAATAAATAATGCAACTAGTGCAATGGGTGGTGCTCCGCACCACCCATCTTATTCAAAATTTTGCTTCCTACTCTTTTTTAAAAAAATAAATACAAAACATATTATACTGTAAAAAATAAATACAAAATATATTACTACTGTAAAAAAAATTTATTTAAATATTTCTATTTTATCTCTTTAATTTCTGTAAAACTCTGTGATTCTACAACTTGATGTAGTAGACTGAAATTTCTGTCATTTGAAGGTATTAATTCCATAAATATGCAACATTCACGGATAAACCACACGGATTACCTTTTTTATAGGGTAT